CGGCCACCCAGCGCCAGTACTCGTTGAATGACTTTGAGCTGATACGCGTCATTGGACGCGGCAGCTATGCCAAGGTGCTGATGGTGGAGCTGAGACGCACGCGTCGCATCTATGCGATGAAGGTGATCAAAAAGGCGCTGGTCACCGATGACGAGGACATTGACTGGGTGCAGACCGAGAAGCATGTCTTTGAGACAGCCTCGAATCACCCTTTCCTGGTGGGACTGCACTCTTGCTTCCAGACACCCTCGCGCCTCTTCTTTGTCATTGAGTTTGTGCGCGGCGGCGACTTGATGTACCACATGCAGAGGCAACGTCGCTTGCCGGAGGAACACGCTCGCTTTTATGCAGCTGAGATTAGTTTGGCACTAAACTTTTTGCACGAGAAGGGCATCATCTATCGCGATCTGAAACTGGACAACGTGCTGCTGGATCATGAGGGCCACATAAAGCTAACGGATTACGGCATGTGCAAGGAGGGCATTCGTCCGGGTGACACCACCTCCACCTTCTGCGGCACACCCAACTATATAGCGCCCGAGATACTGCGTGGCGAGGATTATGGCTTCTCGGTGGACTGGTGGGCACTCGGTGTGCTTCTGTACGAGATGCTCGCTGGTCGCAGTCCCTTTGACATTGCCGGCGCTTCTGAAAATCCAGATCAGGTACGTTTCATAGACTCACCCATCTCCAGCAGATGTCTAACACTTTATTCATTAATTGCAGAATACTGAGGATTATCTGTTCCAAGTAATTCTGGAGAAGACTATACGCATACCGCGTTCGTTGAGCGTCAAAGCTGCCTCCGTTCTCAAAGGTTTCCTCAACAAGAACCCTGCCGATCGCCTGGGCTGCCATCGCGAATCGGCCTTCATGGATATTGTTAATCATCCGTTCTTCAAGGTTATTGATTGGGAAATGGTAAGTCTAAGGCCAACGCATGGACACTATCTGTTTGTGTGTATTTGATGATGTCAGTGTTGGTAATAATGATGATACTTGTGGTGCTCCAATCATTATAGAGCTCAAAAGTAATTATTTAATGGTCAAGCTAACCCGGAGCAGAGCAGAGCTTTCTTTTTCCTGTATACCCTGTTCCTAAAGAGAGAATTTATATATATTTCTGTCTGTCCGACTTTATATAATATATATGCTCCTTGAAGCGTAAAATTGTATGTAAATCGGCCTTTGCTTAAAGCTACACTAAAAATGACAGAGTAAATGAAACTTCTTGAAAAATAAGATGTTGAGGGAGTCTTTTTGGCACCCTCGACATCAAAATAAGATAGTGAAGGATAGATATGTAGGGTATAAAAGTGAAAGAACCTTTAAATAGGATGGTATATTTATATCCTTATATGAAACATACATCATCATTGGAATTTATGTCAAGAAATATATATTGTAATGAATGAAGACAACCTAAAATAATAATTGTTTGTCAGCTTTTAATTTATTTATTTTCTGGTGTATTTTGAATATTGCGACAATTTTAACCCATATGATTAAGTATTTAACGTACTATATATAATTTTGTGTATGAAAAGATTGCACAAAAGGAGGTACAACCGCCTTATATACCAACCCTGGATCCTGGCGATCCTTATATGACAACAAACTTTGACGTTCAATTTACCAGAGAACCGGCTGAATTGACGCCAGACGATCCGTAAGTTTTGTGTCAAGAAAAACAAAACTAAAAAAAAAAAAAGAAATACCTTCTAGTTTTGGTTATTTTGTTCTATTTGTACAACGACGCATGAGACAATACCCAAAAATAAATTATACGAATAATAACTTCATAGCATTCGCGGTCAGACTAACAGCAGGTAATGTTCGCTCTCAGCCACATTGTGAACCCGCCCGCTGTCTCCTACTCGACTCTCTATTATCAATCAACCACCCCCGCCCCCCACCGCCCCCTCAAAAATAAAGATCACGCCCCCTACCCTGCTCGATCAATCTACTTATCATCATTATCATCAATACACACACAGAAAAACGCACACGGACATGCATTCGAAATGTGTCCTGAGCCTTATTGAATTGTTTTTTACGTTTGCCGAAATTGGCTGGCACTTTAGCTATAATCATTTTATTTTTACTATCTTTGCATATCCTCTACACACACACACACACACACACACACACGCACGCACACGTCTGCACAACCAAACACATGCCAATTTCAACCTCATGCAGCTCGAACGCAAACAGGTTTCGCCTCCATTCAAGCCACGCTTAGACTCAGATCGCGATCTGGCTAATTTCCCGATCGAGTTTACCGGGGAACCGGTGCAGCTGACGCCAGATGATGAGTAAGTTGGTTTTTTGTTATAATTCTCTTCCTCTAACATCGATTTTTGACAATCCAATAGATCTTCAAATATTATTTATACTAATATATTGTTCTCTTCCATAGCCATGTCATTGATAACATCGATCAATCGGAATTCGAGGGCTTTGAGTATGTAAACCCCTTGCTCATGTCATTGGAGGATTGCGTCTGACACCACGAGACGTGTGATTTACATCCATATAATATACGTGTAAGTAAAACCTGAGCAACCGATCATACTTTTGGGGTATTCTCTGTAAAACTAAGGGTAAATTTATCTTCATGATAAAGGTGTTTTCTACCCATTGTAATGGGAGAACTACTTTCATTTGTCTGGCGAGTAAAGTTTCTTGCAAACTTTTACCATGAATGTTAAAGTACGTGTCAAGCTTGAAATGAACTTTAATTAAAGTTTTTAGACATTTCATTACGCTTTTAATATATCTATTGCAAAAGCAAAAAAAAAGCAACCCATATTTAAACTTTTTAGACTCTTTAATTGAAATTGAATTTTATTATTAACTTTTGCAGCTTTATGGCGAGGATTCCAGTGATTACGATTCCGTGGCTGACGATTTGAGCCTCTTGCATTTGAACAGCGCGGGAGGTGCAGCCAATACCAATAATAATATAAGCCAGCAGCAACATTATCGCCAACAGCAACCGCTACAGGCACAGCAATATCATCCATACCCACAGCAACAACAACAACAGCAACAACTGCAACAGCAACATCAACAACTGCAACAGCATCAGCAGCAGCAACATCATCATAATGGTAACAATAACAATCATAATAATCAAATGCAAGCAAATAATAATAAAAGTCTACTGCAGCACATGTTTTGCCTTCCATTGAACTAATTAAAATTACGAATTAGAAAAAGAACAGCAACAAGAGCAACAGATAGCAGACAGCAACAACAACTAGCAAATGCAACAAAAATATATATATATATAAAACAAAAACACAAAATACTAAAAAAGAAGCAAATACAAAATTAAGCAATTATAATCTTCTATAAAAAACATGTCTTAAAACGAACACTACTTTCATACCAAAAACAAAGGAATGAAGAAAAAACGGTCACAAGTTGCGAGTATTAAACTAAACTACAAATGATTACTTTACTATTTAAGCACCTAGGCAGCTAGGCAAAATCTATGCATGCAACAACAACAACAACAATAACAAACACACAACAGCAACAAACAATTTCATAACTCAATGCAAGACTTTTCAGCAAATTCACCTAAAAAGAATGCAGCAACATTTTTAGCATCTAAACAAAATATATATAAACATATAATTTTTAAATATTTAAAAGCAAAACATTTAATTTTACAACAAACAAAAGAAAAAAAGTTAAAAAATATAGATACACTATTTAAAAAAAAAAAAAAAAGGAATGCAAAATCAATCTATTATATTTAAGCGCGTAATTATTATGTAAAATGTATGTGTGTTAGTGTTAGTGAGCAGAACGGTTTTTAAAAGCAACAACAACAAATTGATACAAGTGTGTGTAAACAGAAAATCCTTTAAAGTATAGACCTAATTGAACTGGCAAAATTATCAAAAAAAAAAAGCATCAACATTTGATGACACGAACAAACATTGAGAATCGCTCTAAAATAAATATACATATATATATTTATAAGCAATCGATAATTTATTGTATTTTCTGTATTATTAAATTTACACAATATCGTAAAAAAAAAAGAAGAAACATCCGTCTACTGGCAATTTTTTTGTTTTGTTAAGTATTAGAAACACATTCCACATTGTACTTACTATACGAAATTGTTGTTAAATTTTTGTAAAATACGTATAAGTATGAGATTTTCAGCAAGCAATAAATTTATTATTTTTATCACTGTCCCATTTTATTGCTCGTTGTGAACGATCTGAATATTGAATCATTTTCGAAACACGAATTTGTTATGTGTTCCCTAGAAAATTGTTCCAATTTCTTGCACTGCGTGAGTTTTTTTTTAAAAAAGAAGTATATAAATACATATTAAATAAAAACGTGTAAATTATGTTTTATAACCCACGAGTAGACATATTATAAAACAAAAGTAATTCAACAAACAAAACAGAATTAAATTAGTATTAAAACAAAAAATATCATTGTGTTGCTTTAACTTTAACGAAAATTTACAAAATTGTCTTTTTAATTATCTACAAATTATTGAAATGAATCGTATATGATAAATAAAACAAAACAAAAAAAAATAAGTAGTTAATTGTTAATGTATTCAAAGTGACAACACGCAAAGCAATTTAAAATTATTAAACGCAAATACAAATTCTAACAACATATTTTGATTAAACGAAAATAATAGCAAGCAATCAATTAAAGCCTAACATAGTACATCATTTACATACATACATACATACATACCTACGTAACAAGCAGACGATGAACACTGAACAAATTAAGTATGCACCTTTTAATTGTAAAAAACGTAGTGACAGCAATAAATTCATGAAAATGGTTTTTAATGTAAGAGGAATTTTCCTAAAGTTTATAAAACATAACAAAATCAATTGTAGACGGCAAAACTTTTTAGGCAAATATATATTTATACCACATATATTTTTTCTTCAAGTATTTAACTTAAATATATTTGTTTAGTTGACCAATGTATTTGTATGTTTCTTTTTTCAAGTGCTGTTTCTAATCAATTTTTGTTTTTTGTGTTTTTCCTTTTTTATACTAAATGCACTTCAAGTACTTTGAATGCTAGCAAAATGTCAAATGAAATTGAGAACGTAAACAATTTGCGTTACAATTATGCATATAAACAAACGAATAAACTATTGTGTAAGTAAAACTTTAACCAATATTTAGTTCATTATGGACGTGGGTCTGGCATATTTGTAATGTCAACTAAAAAAGTTAACAAAGGAATGCTAAGGTTAAAATATCCTTGTAGATATCGTAGTTTGATTTGATACAGTTTTGCAGATATCGTAAGAGAATAGAATATTCTGTCTTATAACAATTTATTTATTAACCAATTCTTGCACTAGACATATATGTTATAGCAGTTCATTTTTGATAGGACTTTGCTCAGATATAAGGAACATAGTGAAAATTATAAAAAGCTGTTCATAATACAACTTAATTGTTGATCGATCGCTCCCAACTCAGCTATAAGATACTTATATTGGTCCAATCCAACCAATTCAAACATATGTATAGTCTGCAATAAAGTTTGGTTCCATATAATTAACATATCTCTACATGGTTATGCATTGCACTTTCCTAAACATTGGATAGATTTCTATAGACAACGGCATCAGTAATCCCATTATTTACTACTGAAACCGATTTAGTATGAATCTAAGTTGACGAAAACACAAGGAATTAATGAACAGATGCAAATGTGAAGCCCTTTGTCTTAGCTAGATTTAGTTAGTTTGTAGTATGGAGACGGGTTCCTGCATGATTTGCTGTATCTTTGCTTCCGGCACAGGCACGCCGTTAACGAGCAGGGTGTGCACGATGCCGTCGTGTTTGTTGCCGCTTGAGCGTGCCTGTAATACAAATTGTGTGTCCTGCAGCACAAAGCTCGTATCCGTGCCGCCGTGCACAAAAACGGCCTAAAAATAAGGTAGGCATGATTGATGGCCAGGCTTGGCATCCGGTCGGCACATACCATCTCCTCGCGTAGCTCATCGTTTACATACAAGCTGAGCGTGTCCAGCTTGAGCATGATGCGGTACTCCTGGGACGCATCCGTTGCCCCAGCCTGCTCCGTGCCGCATGTGCAGAGCCAGAGGCGATATAGGCGTGTCAGCTCCTCGGCATACTGAGCGTGCGGCTTGCCATCAATGTACAGCGAGTATTCATATTTGAAGCCGGGCGCGGGATCCACGCGAATAATGCACCGCGCCTGATCGATTTCAAACGTATCCTCGCCAACCAACTTAAACATCCAGTCTCGTCGCAACACCTCCTGCAAAAATCAAATAACGCCATAAATTGGGGTAGTATATTCCAGAAAAGTTTCAATTTATTTCATCAAGCCAGAACCAAACTGGTTTTCTGAAGGTAATATAGTTTGCACACATGTCTGTATATAAAACTGTTTGTCCTGACTGACTAACTGATTAACTGACTGACTGATTGGTGATCAAAGCACAATCCAAACTCTAAGAGTTAGGAAGCCTTGTAGTCTAGATACCTTATGACCCGTAGGTAGTCGCTAAGACGGGGCCTCGGAATTCACCCCGAAAACTCATTATCAAAGCTCTTTGTTCAAATTCATTTGAGAAATGTCTCAAACATATTGGAGTAGCTATCCCTCTTTGGTGGAAATGGTGGTCAAAGATTTGATGGGTAATGTTTCTAGCGCCAATTAATTTTAAAGAATATAAAAAACATAATACAACTGTCAATTTTGCATAAAGTATATAAAAAGGGAGACAAAGTTTTATGAAAATATCTCTTAAATTGAAAGACTAGCTAACAGAGACGGACATGATGACAACTTGGATGTTTAAAGTGATCAGGATTACATAAGCTTTATAGGGTCAACGACTTGTAAGCCTAAGCGCTGCCCAAAATTATTATACCCTCTACAAGAGTACAAAAATCAAGTAAAAGTGCTCCTGTAAAATTAAATTTTTCAAATCAATAAATTTTCCACACTTGTGAGTGGAATCAGGTAAAGTGAGAAAGTCCGGAAAAAGAGTTTCATATATATGGAAAGTAATAAAGTTGTATTATGCCTGCAATACACAGTTAATGTAACACAGTCTTTCTAGCATTGACTATAAAGAATATTCCCCTGTGCCTAATACATAAACTTGTTTGTGGTGCTTGTATGACTAATTGCGCTGTTATTGGGGTGTGCTTTGAAAGTGCATTCACCACTTACCCGACCATTGACCCAGATCATGCGGCGTCCACTTGTGGTGCCGTGCTCCAGTTCGATGCGGTACATCTGGGCGCATTTGAAAGAACACAGAGCCGAAAGTTAATTAAATGATAGTCAACGTGGCGTTAGAGATAGGGCAAAATGAGGCTATTCAGAATGGAAATGAAGTGAACCTTGCCATTGATGGGCGCACACCATTGGGCGACGATGTTCTCTTTGTTGTAGCGCTGTGCCTCGGGCACATGGTCCAGACTCATGATGGGCACTGTTGACAGATTCTCCATGCGCAGCGTTGGCGACAGAAACGACATAGCCGGGCCGGGCACTGAAAATCGATTTCAGTTAATAATCATTTAGTTATTGCATTAAAAATGCAAGCAACTAGAGCTGGTTACACAATGCAACAAAGTTTGGCAACAACACGAATGCACTTTCAATTAAAAGCTAACTAATTGCAGGGCTTTATTAACACATTTCCTGTTAGTTTGCCCAATTAGTTATGCTCTGTTTTTGTTAGTATTATTATTATTATATTTTATGCGGCAGCGCGAACCGTCAGCATTCAGCGTCAATGGCACACTAAACAACACACAATAATGCCACAAAGAACTGAAGAAAATTTGTGTAGTAGTTGTTGGCCCCGGGTCTGGACTGTTTCTGGTCGAGTTGCGTTGTCGATGGCTCTTTCTGTTGTGGCTAGAAAAAGTGCACAGCCAGCGCCGGAGCCAAAGCCAAAGCCGTAGCCGGAGCGCGCCGCATGGCGCCAAAAACCGAGTTGATTTGTTTCGCTTTGAGTGTGCGTGTGCCTGAGTGTGTGCGCCTGTGCGTGTGTGTGTGTGAGCTTAAGCCCCACAGCTCAGCACTTTTCTGCGTGAGTGTGTGCGTGTGTGTGTGCTAGTGTGTGTTTGCTGTGTGTTAACATTTGCACACATGTCGCCGACGCCGTCGTCGTTGAGCATAAAAATAAACTTTACTTTTTGAGCAGCCCCAAGCGCCGCCAAGTATGCAATAATTATGGCATTAGCCAAGCGGGTAGCGTAACTATATCAAGCGCTTTGCAACAATACCCATTTGTGTTGGCTTCTTAAGAAACTGTAGACTTAAGCAGCTCCTTCGGCAATAGGGCAGCTGAAGTAGTCAATAAAATACTCGCAACCATCAATCAGTTGTAGTCACCATCAAAATGAATTAATCCGTGAAATAAAGCGAGTTTTACGATACCCTACAAACATCTTTTATTGCGCGAGATAAGTTTCGGGCTCTGCTGTCCACGGGAAACAAGCAAGAGCACATTTGAACGACAGTGAACAATGGAAAGAGGGAAACGTTGCGCTACCCTGCTTAAAAGGCAATATTTATTCCGCCTTGAAGATACATTTGCGATAGAATCAACCTTTTTCGTTTACTTTTGCCCACTAAGTTAGATTAATTTATTTTAAAATATCATCTTACAATTTGTTTTTTCCATATAGTTAGGAAACGTGACTCTTCGTAGAGTAATTAAAATTGATGTACCCGCAGGGTATTTCGCAGTCGTGCATAATCAGGCACATTTTCTAATGCATTGCAATTGAAACGCTCGCTGCCTTGAGCCCTGCCTCAAATTGAGCGTAAGACAACACTTTTCGGCTGCTCATATCAATTGGCTGTGCGCTCCCTCTCTCCCCGCCACACCCCTCTTTCTACATATAAATGTGACAATTATATTGCCCGCGGTGGTGTGGCATAAATTTGTTGCCAACTCGAGGCAAGCAACATACGCCTGCTGAACTTCATCCCCTCTTGCTTTTTGGGGGCGTCGCAAATTTGTCGCATTTTGTTTGGCTGTCATGTTTATGGCGTAATATTTTGCGGCCATAAATACACGCCAAAAATGCTAATGACCCGCGCCAAGGGCAGCCGGGAAGGGGTTCGGTAGTGATAGCTAGATAGATGCACGGATATTTAGATGGATAGATAAATAGATAGATGGATGAATGGATAGTGTGACAGTTTGTGTTAGTTGTGTATTTCGATTTGGCGAAAAAAAAAACAAGTATTGATAAATGTTTTCGCCACACAGCGGAGCTGCAGGCACATCATATGAAAAACAAGTGAAAATAACAACAAAAAAAAGACAGAATTTTCCACACGCGAAGGTCAATGGGAAAGCGCCGTTTCAAACCGCTTACAGTCGCTGTATGTAGTTTTGTTGTAGACACTGTAGTTGTTGCCAGCAATATCAGCAACAACAACAACAATAACAACAACGAAAGAGTCCATGGAGATAACAAAGCGAAACATGACAAGGACAAGGCCTCCAACTGGCAACTGGCAATCCTCATGGCAGCAACTTAAAGCGTCTGTCTGCCTTGAATGTGCTTTTCAGTGTAATTATTAAATCAAATAATAATGGATGTTCTTTAATATTCCTTTTGAACAAAACAATTTAAATTCCTAAACAAAATTGTTTACTGCAGCACGCAACTAATTACGTTATATGAATTAAAGGTAAAGAATATTTAATGCGAGGCAAGAGTCATGGTTGGGTTTTATAAAGTGCACTAGCGAAACCTAGCTCAGCCTATTTAGGCCATTAAGAAAGAGTATATCGAAGTCTACTCTAAGTTTAGCATGAAGACTTACATGCATTTGGAGTGAACAGATAGGAAATTAGTTCTTCCTTTATCCTGAGCGGGTTAAATTTACATTCTCCCTGTTCACAGAGAAGCTCCTACGATCTTACCCAAATGGGGTACAATGTGAACTGATTAATCATCGAAACTCTCAAAAAGCTTAGTTGTAATATCTGGCTGAAATCAAATTTTTTATATATTTGCAAAAAATACTATACCAAATCAGCGTATAGCTTTCGACAATATGACACACACTCCGGTAGATTAATTTTACTAGTTTGTTGTCTTTGGTGAAATTTAAAACACAAATATAAACTGAATATATATTTTTACTTAAATTAATAACTTTTATTTCATACTTCTAAGTAATTTGCTAGTTCCCGGCATAGTCTAGACTCTGACAATTTATTATTATTCTTATTTCCTGTGCTGTTTCTGCATGCAGCACAGAAATTGAAGTATACGCGCATCCTGTTCCGAGAGGTAATCGGAGACTATTCTGTAAATACGACTCTCGATTCTACTGAATTCCTGGCTATTGTTATGCTTCGATTTCAAGGATATTTCCATTGTATTCTCCGAAATCCAGTTTTCCTTGCTTAGTTTCTGTTTGACCGTCCGCAACAGGGACTCGGAATCATATGTGCGCATCCAAAACATGCACCCGTTGACGGGTTGGTTGCACTGGAAGTAAATATGTCGTGTTCCATTGTTGATCAGAATACTCTCGGCTCCGAAGGAATCCACAGAGCGCTCATCACTCCTTGTATCTGCGGCATTACCCAAGACAAGTTCCGCCAAACGTCTTTTACAGTCTGCGTGAAATTTAGTTCGATCACGTTGCGGTGGATTTGTTTTCATGAAGGAATACTCTTGTGGATCGCCTATAGCCAAGACCTCTGGTTTGGCTGGCAGTGACTCAACTTTTTGATTGGTTTCTGTTACAATTGCCATTGTTTGTTGGTTCTCTCTTTCAATAAACTTCAGATGCGACACTTAAGTGAAAAAACAGCTGACAGTCTAAACTGTCGAACTGACTCATTGAAACTCACGAAAAGCTTCACGATTGTATTTGCATTTTAGCCGAAATACAATGAGTACGTAAACAAAAATGAAAACATACGCAGCTTAAAGCTTTCAGGGAGCTTTTGGTCCAAAATATTCGTTATAAGGTGGCGCAATCGAAAGAGCTTTTTGCCAATCACAGCGTTCGTCTTTAGTTAGTTAGCTGTATTGGATCTGTAACTTTCGTACTGCAAAAACAAGTAAACAAAGAAAAACATGGACAAAAAGGAGGAAGGTACATTCAGCATTTTAATTAAGCAAACAAATATTTTAGATTTTTGCATTATTTACGAATTTCTAGAAGTCGCCACAATCACGTCCAAGACAAAAGTGTTGGCTATTGGAGACGGGGATGAAGAATACCCAAAGAACAAGCAGCTGCCAGCAAAAGACAACATGAACTTTTATCGGGAAGATCTAATAAAACGCTTGTGTCTTTTATTAACGGGAAATCCAAGACCAATCCACGTTGTCAAAGATTGGGACTTGGTGGAAAGATTTGGAGCGGCGAGCATTAAGGAAGATAACCAACCCAGGCGCTATCATTTTTTTTTGTGGGCGCGGTAACAGTTATTCCACTGGGGAGATTATTTCTGGGCCCGTTTTTAATGCAGTGGGAGTTCTGAATATAGTAAAGAATCGACTGAAAGCGGAAAATTGGATATCAACGAATGTCATAGAAACACCTCTGAAAACAAAAGTTAGTCGTCCCCAAGACCCATTCTACAGCTCCGATCAATACATTCAAGGAATCGTTTCGGATGCCTTTGATGCTGAAGGGGTAAAGCTCTTTAAATTCTTGCAATACTTACACAGAGAATCTATTCACAAATAATTAGTTTTAGTTTTCGAGCATACCCCGTAAAATACGTAAAAATCTGTAAATATAATAGCACGAAGCTGAACTTTTAGGTAGTGCAGGCGCTGCCTTTACTCTGCTTTGCAGTATTGTAAATAGTTTCTTTTATTTTAATTCCAATTTCTTTAATAAAGTATTTTGTATTCTTCATTTTAGCTAAGAGCTTTTTTTTGATCTCGTGTAATTGGAAAACATGTATGGTAAGGCCTACAAATATCGACTACGTAAACTAAGCAATATATTGAGCATCTATTAGTAGCTTAAAGGTCTACTAGAATTGCTCCATTGTATTTCTGTCTTCGACTTACATACATACATAGCTTCAGATCAGGCACTTTTGTGTATGTATATGTATGTGCTTGTGCCGGTATGATTGAGACAACTGCTGAGCAAGACGTAAACAGAAGCAGAGCTTACAACTTAAGCTTTTGCCGAGCTTTTTTGTGAAATGAATGGGATTTCGTCAGAGCTTTTTGCCAATCGCAAAATAGTCAGTTTGTCAGCTGTGCTGGGTCTGTAGGCATCGCATAAGTAAACAAGCAAATATAAAAAATGGAAGAGTTTAATACAGAAACGGAAAAAGAAACGGGTAATTTAAAATAAAAGAAAAACAGTATTGAATGTTTCTAAAATGCTTATGTATTTCCAGAAGTCGCTACAATCACGCGTAAGGCAAAAGTATTGGCGATCGGAGGTGAGGAATGCTCCACGAAGAAGCCGCCTTCATTCAAATACAACGCGAATAATTTTCAAGAAGATTTTAGAAAGCATTTGTGTCTGCTATTAACTGGTAGTCGAAAAACTATAGAAGTTGTCGAAGATTGGGATTTGGTGGAAAGATTTACTGCGGCGAGCATTAAGGAAGATAACCAACCCAGGCGCTATCACTTTTCTTGCCAGAAAGGTAACAGTTATCCAAGAGGCACGTTTATATCTGGCCCCACTTTTAACCCAATGGAAGTTATGGCTCTGCTGCGAAAACGGCTGAAGGAAGAAAAGTGGATATCAAAAAATGTCATAGAAACGCCTCTGAAAACAAAAATTGTTGGCAAAAAATACTACGGCTCCGATCAATACATTCAAGAGGTTGTTTCAGAGGCCCTTGATGTGGAAATGATGAGGATTTTTAAATTCGTGCAATATTTACAGTATTCACACAGAGAGTCTAATCGCAAGTAATTACTAATTTAGCATACCCTGTAATATGCATATTTAAAAAGAGCAGTGATGGCGCTGCCTTCTTATGGCTTGCAGTATGGCAATACCTATGTATATAAATAAATAAGATAATAATATAAGATAATTGAAAAAATCACAATTAGCTTTTCATTTGAGCAACATATGGAGGAACATATGGAAGAACAGCTGATAGAAATGTAAACAGAGAATGGCGTTACCTCAATTGTTTTTTAAAAAGCTTTTGGCAGAGTTGTGAAATTGTTATGAGTATTTCGCGTAGTGCTGCATAAAAAAGTAGCCTCATCTTGAAAGCTTTGCCAATCAAAAAGTTAAAGTCAAGCAAATAGTTCGTCTTCTGTAGAACTGAAACATTTTAATAGAGCAATAAAATGATACAATCGGAAACAACTGCAAAACACGATAATGTAAAAAGCGATACAAGTAAGATACAGCTTTCCATGCCGGCAAATACGTGTTTGATAATTTTACTCCTCATATTTCCAGCTGTGACATTGAGCTCAGAAGTCAAGGTATTGTCCATTGGTAATCGGAGGCCACACTACAGGTCTAAAAAAAAACAGGTGGTCAAGTTTGACATGAATGTTTTTCTTGACAACTGCAAGAAGCATTTTGGACTTCTTCTAATGGGAACTCGTACGCCCAAAGAAGTGGCCATGAATTGGTCTATGATCCAACTTCTTGAAATGAAAAGAATCGAGGAGGATAATCAAGTAAAACACTTTCAATTCTATTGCCATCCCAGAGGTAGGGATAGTGGTTACATGATGTATGGCCAGACAGTTAATGCCGAGGCAGTATTGCACGATATGAGAAAGCGACTGCAGCAAGAAAAGTGGACGTCAAAGTATGTTTTAGAAATGCCTGTTAACGAAACCTGCTATAAGGGCTATAGATCCAAGGTTGATCAAATATTTGCTGAGGCCCTTGACGCTGAAAGGTACAGAATTTTTCAGTTTGTGTATTATTTACACAAAGAACATCTTAAGAAAAAGTTAGCAATGTGAGAAAATTGCTTGTTCTTTTTTTTCAAAAATTATAAGGTTAATTGCTAAAGTTGTAATATGTTCATTAGCTTTTAAATGTGATATTAATATGTATAAGTTATTTATTTAAGAAACAAAGCCTTAATATATATTAAAGTATATCTTATAGATTCTGGCCTTTTATTTGATATTATCATTGTATATATTGTACTACAATCGTAAAATAATATTAATATGTAACAACAAAAGCATTAAAAAACTAAAGGATGGCTGTAACAAATACATCTGTGCCTAAATAGCCACATACACACACAAACATATATATGTGCAAATAAACAAACAAACAATTTGCTAATATGTAAATAAAAATCAATGTACGAAAAAGTGACTAACTTGAATTCTTGAGAATCGGATAGAAGGGCAACGTATATACCTCACTGTTTCGTTTTATTTTTAGCATCGTAGCGGGAAATTTAGCTGTTTTTTAACCAACTAATCGGGTTGGTAGTCCAAAATAATTTCAAAAAAGGACGAAAAGAAGTTCTTGAAAAGTTATAAAGTATCTCTAAGCTTTCGCTGAGCTTTTTAGTAAATTTGTTGTGAAATTAGTAGTATTTCGTTATGTTCAGTGTACAAATGCAGCGCAAACAAGAGGCAGATACCACTCCCAAAGATCGCGACAAGCAAACAAGTAGTCAATCCATACTTTAATAATAATGAAAGAAACCGAAGCAATTATGGATAAAGATAATGCAGAAACAGATACAAGTAAGATGAAACAAACAAAATATTGAACTAAAATTTAAATTTTAATTATTTGCAGCAGTGGCCACATTGACATTAAACACAAAAGTTTTGGCCATTGGAGGTCGCAAAGAAACTCGAAACGGAAGAAAATCTGCTTTTGAATATGACAGGAATACTTTTCTTGCCGACTGCACGAACTATTTGAGTCTACTCTTAATGGGAACTCGAATACCCACAGCCGATTCTTCTGCAACGGAATGGTGTGGTGTGAGACCCATTAAAGAGGGAAATCGAACCGTAAGATATCAGTTTTACTGTCATCGACCTCCAATAGTGCCAAGTCATTATAAAATGTATTGCAACACATTTAGTGCAAGCGCAACAATGCGCGAAATCAGAAAATTGCTGAAGGCGGAACGTTGGATATCAAAGTATGAGATAACAGCTCCTATTAAAACAGTATATAATACTAGACACTATCATAGCGAGAATTACTTTGTTGATTGTATGGTTTATAGGGCCTGCAATGCTGAAAGTGACCGAATATTTGCCTACTTGTTTAATTTACACAAGGAATATGTACAAAATAATCTAAATTGATGTAAGTGTAATAAAAATAATATTGCTGATTAATTTTAATAAACTACTTGATCCCCTAATCAAATGCATTAATGCATTTCAGTGCTCACATATTTTAATTCCAATCTACAAAATATGTCATACTATGCACATATGTGAAATTGCTTTCTTTAAAGCCTAACTATTTGCTTGTCTTTGGCGACAATTAATTTCCGTGGATAATTCCCTGCCAACAGGAAGAATACAAAAAGGACATTAATCAAAGGAGCTCAGCTGTTATTTATCTGAAAGATGACAATGGGAAAAGGTAAAAGACAAGCTTAAGTGAAAAATTGTTGTGTTTATTTAATTATTGATTTTTGTTTGCATTTGTTTGGGTGATTTGTTGTAGCGCGTATAAACAAAATGAATTTTCATTTAACGTGCGATCTTATGCTAGCTGTATTTCTCAGTATTTGTGGTTGTGTTTTAATGTTTGGATCTATTAGATATTGAAATGCTAAACTTTAGCATAATATTCAAATGTTAATCAGCTAAAAAATAATACTGTTCACAACGCCAATGGTATCGAAATTTAACAATTTTTTTTTATAGAAAAATGATTGATATTGACAATAAATATATAGAATGCATATCTTCATGTTCATATAGAATTTATATTGCTGCACCATAACAACTAACATAAACAGCTAATATCTTTGTTTAACCTTAATCTAAGCACATAATCATTTCAATTTGGAACAAATTTGAACAACGCTGGGCGTAAAATAGGCGCTATTTGTAAATATTGTATATACTTATATGTATATCTAGGCACATATAAATGTGTATATATGTGGTTGTTTTGTAAATGCTGTCTATATGGTACTTTTAATTGTATGTACGTATAATCAACGCTAATTGCACTATTTATTATATTTTCTGTATGTTTGCTATGAATTACACTGGCGGCCAAAAATAAGGGCCCACTTTGAGATTAATATTAAACTAAAAGCAATCGTTTCTTATTCAATATGTTTTCATCATACTTCTTCAAATAAATATATAATAAGTGTATGTTAATTGAAGTCTACTATCCAGTTATAGACTATACTAATTTTATACAAATAATTATGTTTAATGCTTTCAAGAGTTATAATAAAATGTAGAACTTTTAATACAGAAAAAATAATATTGCTTCATTTTGAATACCAATCAAATACTGGTTCACGTTTTAACAACTTCAAACTGAAAACCTAGTTATTGCTAATCAAATACATAAGAAACATATTTTAATACAGTCGTGTGTGTTCAAGTAACAATCTATAGAATAGTTTCAAAGTCGTTTAGTTTGTTAGCTCAGAAGTTCGAATACCTAAAATAATTTCTTTTCGCATAAAATGAAGAATGTGTTTTCAACCAAAGTAAATAGAATACAATTTTAATGGACTCACCACTTTTGCTTCTGCTAAATATCGTAAATGGCAGTTGAAATAGATTCTAACTAAATGAAATGCATCAACTGGAAGCTGGTTATGCTATTTCGTCTGCAACTGTTATTATTACAAGTTTAAGGCGCCAGTGCAAAGGTTGTTTATGGCTTGAAAATGCAGTTGCTAATATTTATGGTTTGCTGATTTATATTAGCGTATTTCAAGTTACTTTAGAAAAATGCGCAAGTCTTCGGTCTCGGTATATATAGGCATGGGGGGAGTGGGACACGGAAGGGGCCATCACTTGCGTGACAGCATTATATTTATGACTGTGCCGCAGTTAAGCAGGACACGTTTGGCATCGCTCAGATTGGCATTGGTCAGGTCATAGCCGTCGATCTCCAACAGCTTATCGTTGAGGCTCAGCAGCCGCGCGGCATTTGAATTTGGTGTGATAGCACTAACAAAGATGCCCACCTAAGTGGGAGAGGAATGGTGTCAGAACGTTAAATACCCTAAATAAGACAATATAATTACCTGATTAAGCAGCTCGGCAATGTCGAAGCCAATGCTGTTTTCCCATTTGAGGGTCACCTGCTTGACAGTGGGATTTTTGTGCACACCAAATATCCAGGCTGACTTTTTAGCCCTGGATGTATTGTTGGTGGCCGTGGAATTTAATGAGTTCTGCGATAGGGTATCATCCACATCTTGCAACTGCTGCTGCTCATCTTCAAGCTCAAGCTGCTGCTGCTCCTGCTGCTGCAGTTCAAGTTGCTCTATGTTGATATTGTTCTGGTAGTCCAGCTCCTCTGATTGTGCACCGATCGCCGTTGTCTTGAAGTTGCTATTTAGCGCATCCTGGTAGCTGATGCTCTGCTCGTAGAGCGGCTGTGTTGTTGGCTGTTGTTGCTGCTGCTGTTGTTCTTGTTGTTGTTGCTTGCGCTGTCGCATGGACTCGTAGAGTGTGAGATCTTCGGGCGTTTTCTTGGTGTACACACGTGCTATGTGATAGGGCGGCGGTTCCATGCGTGGTGGAGGCGCTGCTGGCTGCTGTTGTAGCGGTTGCAGCTCATAATTCTCTTCAGCTCCATTTGACAAATGCGTAGTAGGCAGCGGCAAGCTGTTGGCATCCACATAGAGTTGCTGGTAGTGCGCCTCGTAGTTGACAAGCGGCAAACCATAATATTCCTGGGTGGCCTGCTGCTGCGCCGGCTGGTAGACACCGTAGATGTGGGCCGCCTCGGGCGCAACACCATATATTGCACTTGCCGTGGCATGATCCACAGCGTCCTGATTGCTATCACAGTGTGGCATGGCCACTTGGCCGTTGGGCACCACGACACGCGCCTCTCGCACCTCGCTGGACCCCGATGCCGCCGCATTCGCCGCCTGCGCCTGACGCATATACTTGGCCATTTGGCGCAGCTCCTTGGGATACGGCGTGGGTGAACGCATTAAACGCACCGAGCTGCCGGCAGGCAGCTGCTCAGGAGTGGGCGGAGCTGTCACATAGCTGGCGGAGTAACTTGGAGCGGGCTGTGGTGCGCTGCTGGGGTTAGTGTTGGTGCTGCCCGCACTCAGAATGGTTGTCTCCTCGGCAAAGCATATGCGCCGCGATGGGCTCGACGGCTGCTGTGGCTGATGCTGATGATTCGCGTAGACAAACTCGTATTGGTCCTGGACCTGCTGTTGCTGCTGGGCCTGCATCTTGAACGTCACCTGTGGCAGCATAAAGCACGTGAGCTGCGTCTTGCTGCTGGCATCCAAATACTGTAGTGGCACCAGTGGTTGCGACTGATTGTCGCTAAGCCACAGAGACGTGAGATTTACCAGGCTCAGCATGGAAACGGGCAGGGCATTGATGTAGTTATTAACTACATTAAGCACCTTCAGCTTGGCTAAATGGCCTATATTTTGGGGCAACGCTGAGAGCTGATTGTTGGCCACGCTTAAGACACTTAATTGACTGCAGCTGCAGAGCTCGTCGGGCAGCTGGCGCAGCTGATTGTCATCGGCGAAGAGGAAACGCAGTTTGACCAGCGATCCAATAGTGCTGGGAAGCCGCATAAGCTTGTTGTGGCTCAGCACCAGCTCCTCCAGCTGCTCCAGGTAGCTTATGCTGTCGGGCAGCTCGCTGAGCCCATTTGACTCGCACTTAAACGTGACTAGCGACTTGAGCATGCCCACGCTAAACGGAAATGCCTCCAGATTATTGGAGCAGATTGACAAGACCTCCACGTTACGCCAATTGCTTAGCTCATTGGGCAGTGTGTCCAGCAAATTGCCATTGGCCTCAAAGTGTTGCAGTTCGCGCAGTTTGCCAATGTTGGGCGCAACACGACGAATTTGATTAAAATCGATCCACAGCTCGCGCAGTGACTTAAGTTCTCCAACGACCTCTGGCTACAATGAAAGCAGAATAAGGCTTTAATTTATGCAAATTAACTATATACGCTTACCAGCTCGGTGAACTCATTGCCGCCAATATCAAGCCGCTGCAGGCTAACCAAACGCACCATCGACTTGGGCAGCGTTATGAGATTGTTGAGGCGCACCTCCAAAATTCGCAGGTTGACCAAACGACCAAAGTTTGCAGGCAGAAACTCCAGGTATGTTTCATTTAGCAGCAGTTCCTGCAGCGAAATAAGCGACGTAATCGCATCAGGCAGACGTTGCAGGCTGTTGCAGCTAAGATCCAAGTGGGTCAGATGTTTGCACGCCTTAATCTCCTCCGGCACATTGACAATAACTGCAAAGAACAAAAAATTAGAAGTTTGTTTTTATGTAATTAACGTGCTTGGGTGCGGCGACTAACGATTGCGGTTCAGATCGAGATGTTGCAATTGACGCAGCGAACCAATGGCCTGCGGTATGCTCTCCAGATTGTTGCTGTTCACCTGAAGGATGCGCAATCCCTGGCAGTAGAACAGCTGCGGCGGCAGTGTTTGTAGCTAAAAAGAAAATATATATATAAGACATATATTAAATGGGGTTTATATCTAGCTGTTGCTCACCCGCGCATTACTCAGATGCAACTCCTCGAGGGTACGTTCGTGCTGCCACACCTCGGGAAAGGCATCCTGGAGCGGTGTATTGCTGTAGTCCAGCTTGTCGATGACCTCTTCACGTTTAAATTTGAAGCAAGGAAAGCATTTGGACAGCAGCGGCATTTTGCCAACGTTTCGTGTGTTTGTGTGTGTTTTATTGCTCTACGTTCGATATTAAGGCACGGCCGTTGTTATTGTTGTTGGTATAATTATTGTGGGCTAAAAAAATACACATAAGCCATACACACTCATACATATACACACAGAACTAAATAAGCGGTAAGCCAGGCGCATAACTTACCTATGAATCATCGCTGCTTCTGCTGCAGCAGCAGCACAAAGGCAGCGACCGCATTGAACGCTGCTCCGTTACAATTCATTCGCATTTTGTTGGGCTTGTTATTGTTCCAACACTCGCACATACACACACACACTCACGCAATGTACGCACAAACACAAACAATAGGAAAGCTACGTCTGCTTGGGGCCGCTTGCTTTAGGCAGCCGGCTCCTTGCAAACCTATGCGGTTGCTAAGTTACGCTATTTTCACGTTGTGCCTGTATTTTATGTTTATTTACGCACTCAATTTGGATTTTCTTTAATGTTTTTCGCGTTGAAGATAACAAGTTGCGAGTTGGCAGCAGTCACAGTGCACAGGAATGCAAAGCCAAATAAGTATCGATTACTGTGTTTATGGTAATCGATATACACCTGCAATAAGTGCGCACTATCGTGTATATCATCTAAATATTACTTATGTTGGCAGTCAATAATATATTTACACTAATTACATATTTTAACTTATTTGTATCATTATATAACAGCAAAATGATATGCTACGTTAGTATGTTTAAGCCGCCTATTAACGTGGAGCGATAGTGTTGCTAAGAATATCGGTTATTGTGTACTCCAATTATTTTCCGCCAGATGTCGCTAGCGTGCAACCGTTAATATTTAAATTGCTAAAAAGCAATATTTATAAGCTATTGTTCAGTGGCTGTAGCTAATCAAATAGTATTTGCTAGTAAGTATTTGTTATTCACTTCCTGGCTGCGTAACGCTTTGCAAATATAGTAAATCACACGTGTCAACAAAGTGTTCAATAATGACGGAAGTGCAAATTGAGCGTTCCAAGCTCCATTGCAAACACACCAATGCAAGTTTTCGAGCAAGCCGCCAGTAAAAAAAGCGAAAATAAAACAACAAAATAAAAGACAAAAACTCAAGACTTTGACCCTCCCTCCCAAATGGACGACGCTCTAAGCGCTAGCAGTGCGAAAATTAAACAAATAGCGTCCACTTTTCGGATCGTGTTGTGCCCGCCTCACGAATTTACACTTTAAACAATTATAAAATTGTACAGAGATGTGTAAATATGCGCATAATAAACATTGCCTTAGAGTTGTTGTTGGCTTTTGCAAGAGACGAAAATTTACTAACAACTAAACGAGACAACGAAATCGTAAAATGCAATTGGCTTTTAGGGGCTCAGTTTTGTTTTCAATCTCGTGCACTGCAGTTGTGAATTGAAACGTCGTTTTAAAGTTTCATATTTACTATCGTGAGTCTAGGGAATGTTATTTCAAATAGTCCTACATTTATGTGCCAGTGTAATTTATATAGTTTCCCTATAAAAGCCAACTTTCAACTCAATTTTCGAAACTATTTTTATCAGTTTCCCTCACTAAAACAATAGACGTTCACAATAGATAAATATGGGTGTCAATTTAAATTTAAAATTAACGAGCAACTGTTACATTTCCCATGCCAATAAATTACTTATGCAGTACTACGTATCGAGAATTTCAAATATTTAAGTGGGTCGCCTATGCATTGGATGGTTACACCCTGCTTTATTCAATTAAAACCACCTGTCGCAGAGTTTAAATTTCATTGACGTAACCGCTACGCATAAAGCATGACTCACACATGTGAAGAGCTGCGTGTTATACACACCCTACCTACCAGCCGCCACCCCCTTTTTCGGCCAGCCTGTGTTGTGAAACAACCAACCCTCGCGTAAACAAAAGCGCCAACAACACTAAGAGCGAGCGGGTGCTTGGAGAGTGCGCGCAGATTGAGAGAAACGGTTATATATGCCAGCCTTATTTAATTGTGAGTTCGGTAAAATTAAAGAATTTTGTTTCCAGTGCTGTTAAATACGTAAATTACATTCATTCGGGCCGTTTGGTTCAATTTCTGCATAACTTTGATCTTCAAGGACCTACTAATTAAGCAAGTTGCAATCGACGCTCGTTTCATAGTTCCAACGCCTAAAATAAAATTATATTCGTGTTTAATTATTCAATTCAACTATATATTCACCTTGAGTTAGAGCAGGTATAAAACGGCTTGACATGCCGGCTTTGAATGTTTAAAGGGGCTGCTCCTTGTTACAATTGCGACCTCTTCCTGGTCACGTAATGATCTGAAGTTGTGATAAATTATCCATCTTTTGAATATGTTCAGCTCTGAAAAGGTTTAATTACACTTGCTCAACAAGTTCTTGCTAAGATCAAACATTTCTTTTCCAAATACATCGTCAAGTCTATCGGTTCTGCATCTTCAATATGCAAGGCGTATTCTCTTTAATTTTTGTAAACTATATTAATGGGCATAATAATGTATATAAATGATATACTAGATATATACCTTATAATGTTTTAAAGTCCTCAAATATTTTTTGTGTATATCATATGTCCAGTCAATTCTTCGGTTTGGCTTAATCCTTCTTGCTTTTGGATTTGGACTTGCTCTTGGTTCTGCTCTTCTTGACCTCCTTTTCAGCAGTTTTGGTAGCATCTGCTGGGGTGCCCTCGGGGCTTGTCGCTTCCGATTCGTTGGCAACCGGTGTGGAGGAGCTAGCTGACTTTTTGGAAGAGCTTCGCTTTTTGCCAGGCATGATTACACTTTAACCAAAGAACACGAAACGAAATTTACATAAATTTTGAAACTTTTTGAAAAAAAAATTTGGACAGGCCAAATTGAGTGTAGCTCACAAACTGCTTAAATGAAATGAATTTTCTACGAAAACGTAGATGTGCAGTCGAAATTCATCGATTGCTCAGTTTTAATTTTTTTTTTTTTATATTCCGAATACCGAATACCGAATATATTTCAGTTTCGTACCTCAGCCGAAACCGTTTCGCAAACGGGCGACAACCGATTCGCTCTGCCCCATCCCCCAAAGCACAGTGCGTGCCCTGGGGGCTGCTCTCTCTCGCGGCGCGGCGCGCTCTCATCGGGCCTGGCAGTCGTGGTAGAGATATTGAAACCAAAGCGCGTGCAGCAGCTGCCGCCGAGTTGTTTTTTTAGTGAAATTTCTATTTTAATTTAGTTTTTAGCGCAAAGTACAAGCAAATAGAAACCAAGTATAATGAGCTAACATCTCAATATTAAACCAAACAAATAGCAAATCGAATGTGATTGCAGCCCAGTTGCCGCAGCAGGCCAAGTATTTATTTCATCTGACGACAGCAAATCCCAAAAGCGAAAAAAAAAACAACAGCAAAATAACAAAACAAATTATTGATTTTTGCGCTCAAAGGGGCTGTGCAATATAATTAAATACCAGCCAAAATTGTGTTTCCCCCATAAACAAATCGCACAATTACCAAGCTCCACTGTACAGTGAGATGGCAGCCAAGCGAAATGCGGTGACCACACAAGTCCCGGAGCCACCCCCGGAGGGTACATCTCTGGCGCTGGATACGCGGCTCTCGCGGCACGTGGAGAGCGTGATACCCAAGAAACGGTGAGTGTATATCTGTGCATTTGGCATATAGTCACAGTTGTCATTCCTACTGATGTTTCACTGTTTCACTTTAGCCAGGAGGCACTCAAGTGGTACGGCTGGGGCTACAACGATTCCCAGTTCTATGGACAGCAGGGCATTATCTGCTTTAAAGGCGACAAGTAAGTACTAGACTCTGCCTTGTGGGCGACTTATTCATACGCTAAGTCATGTTAATAATTATATTAGTAGCTATAAAATTCAAAAGTAATGTGTATAATAGTTCATGCAAATTGGAGCTCTATCTGTTAGTTTCGGCTTGTTTAGAAGCTGTTGATACATTTGAACAGGTTCGATCTTTAAATTTCTATTTTTAAAACTAGCTCTTCAAGTTTATTGCAAGCGCAATATTCCTATCTGTACAATTTGCTCGAGGTTGCAAGCTGGTTCGAGTCCGGCATATCAATGGATTGTTAGCTGAGAATCGAACCTTAAGCCGAGCCACTTAAAGAGCCGAACCAAATTCCTAATTCCTGAATTTAGTTGAGTTATCTTGAAAAACCAACAATTATTTATCAGTTTTTTTTTAAATACCTTGAGAAAATAGTTTCTGATAATGATATTTAGGATTTAAAAAACATTATATGAAAAGGATTTTTGAGCAATATAAATAAATTGATAAAAAAGTTCGATTCAATATATTTGACTTAGGGATCCGATCCGGCAAACTAAAAAAACGAATATTAAAAATAGTCTTGGCCAATCGATATTTATCGATTTTTGGGTGTGCAATTTCAGATACCCGCTAGCCGGCTGTGAATTACCCAATTTTACGAAGTGGGTGAGAAGTAAATTCGATCTGCACGTGGATCACACCAATTCGTACCCACAGCTGCCGCCAACGTACCCGGCGCCCGTCGAGAATGCGCCCTTCCTGAACGAGCTGCGCGGCTGCACGAAAGTGGAGCACTCCCAGGAGGGCGTCGACCGGCTGGTACGGTGTCACGGGCAGACGCTGCACGACATCTACAGCCTGTGGCACAACAAGTTCCGGCGCATACCGGATCTGGTAGTGTGGCCGCGCTGCCACGACGAGGTGGTGCAGCTGGTGAGGCTGGCGCACAAGCACAATGTGATGCTGTTGCCCTTTGGGGGCGGGACGAGCGTTTCGGGTGCCATCACCTGCCCGCAGGAGGAGCAGCGCATGATTTGTGTGCTGGACACGTCGCAGATGAATCGCCTGCTGTGGCTTAATCGCGAGAATCTCACCGTCTGCTTCGAGTCGGGCGTGGTGGGTCAGGATCTCGAGCGAGTGCTGCGCGAACAGGGTCTCACCGTGGGCCACGAGCCGGACTCGTATGAGTTCAGCACGCTCGGCGGCTGGGTAGCCACGCGCGCCTCCGGCATGAAGAAGAACGTATACGGCAACATCGAGGATCTGGTAGTGCGTGTGCGCATGGTCACGCCCGCGGGCACACTGGAGCGAGAGTGCAGCGCGCCGCGCGTAAGCTGTGGCCCGGACTTCAATCACATCATACTCGGCTCCGAGGGCACGCTGGGCGTCATCACTGAGGTCGTTCTCAAGGTGCGTCCGCTGCCGCCAGTGCAGCGTTATGGTTCCCTGGTGTTCCCCGACTTTGAGCAGGGGGTGCTCTTTATGCGTGAGGTGGCCCGACGACGCTGCCAGCCCGCCTCGGTCCGTCTCATGGACAATGAGCAGTTCCTATTCGGTCAGGCGCTCAAGCCCGAGAAGAGCTGGCTGGCCAGCTGCCTGGATGCAGTCAAACAGCGCTATGTGACCGTGTGGAAGGGCATTGATCTGGCGCACATATGCGCCGCCACGTTGCTCTTCGAGGGCGAACAGAAGGATGTGCAGCGCCAGGAGGCGGTCATCTATGAAATCGCCGCACGCTACAAGGGATTTCCGGCAGGTGGTCAGAACGGCGAGCGCGGCTATTTATTCACCTTTGTCATCGCATACATCAGGGTGAGTGTAGTCCCAGAACAAATACCGAATACAATTCAATAGGAGGGCTAGAAATTTAACTACCTACATACGTACATACTAAATATCTCGTGTATGTCCAGTTTCTCATTGGGATGATATACTCTTTGTGGTCAATTCATAAGCGGATTGAGATATCATGATATTAGTAGAGCCTGGAAAAAGATCGCCAACTTAACACTTCGCAAGTAAAAAACGGAACGCAAATTTATTTGTTCTTTTATAAATATTTAACCTAAGTCGCCTTTGCCAGTTGCGAGTCTTCCAAAGTGCCGCCTTTCCGGCGGTAAATATTATGAAGCAACTTAAAATGTTTGCCAGGTGGTCATTTATTTATAAACTATGCGAAATGTGTGATGTGAGTTTTATTTATTAAAGCATTTATAGCTGTTGGAAATCACGTGTCAAATTGTTTGTAGGATTTTAGCTGTAAAGTTGTCTGTTAATGGATTCATTGGGTCTTGACATCTCCGATTCCATTAATTTTGATTGGCATCAACAGTCGAGATGAAACTTTTCCTGGGTCTGCCTTTCTATGGCAGGCTGAATAAAGGTCCGAGTCCGCCGGATCGGCCCACTATATCATGCAGATGCAGATGTATATATAATCACTTTGAAACCGTATGACCTCTAGGGTATTGAATCTTTGATCCGTGTTCCTTTTTTGTTACAATGAAGTTTGAGATTAGGCACAGGCATTATTTAAATTTTGTAAATGTATCGTATACGAAGCTTAAAAGAAGAGGAATATAAAATATGTTTTCTCAATGTAGAGTATCTTTTTGAAATAATTATTTTTTGTACATTTTATTGAGAGATCTTCGTGAGATCTTCAGCATTAAAACATGATGTCTATTATGTGTGTATCTAAACATATATATAAAGCTATTGCTTGATCAAAAAATCTTCTTTGCTAGCCTCTTTTAAGATAATTTCTTTATAATATTCAAAGAAGGGAATTCTTTACAGGACTTTTCAGAAAGTTTCTTGATAATATAAAAAACCCTTTGCATTATTTTCAGGACTTTGCACTTCATCAAGGCATTGTGGCTGAATCGTTTGAGACGTCTGTACCCTGGGATCGCTGCAGTTTGCTGTGTCGCTGTGTGAAGCGACGCGTCGTTTCGGTTAGTAGAAAACCCAATTTTGCAAAAATAATCATTTTAAAGCAAAGCTTGTATTAATTTGTCTGCAGGAATGCGCCAGGCACAACATTTCGCACTACACCATCTCGGCGCGGGTGACACAGACCTACGATGCGGGGGCGTGCATATACTTTTACTTTGGTTTTCGCTATTTGAACATACCCAATCCGGTTGAGGTATTCGAGGCCATTGAGCACAGTGCACGCGAGGAGATCTTGGCCTGCGGCGGCTCCCTGTCGCATCACCATGGTGTGGGCAAAATACGCAGCCATTGGTATCGCAATGCGGTCACCGAGACGGGCACCTCGCTCTACACCGCTGCCAAGCAGCATCTGGATCCTCGCAACATATTTGCGGCGGGGAATCTGCTGCCACCGCAGGAACAGTTGCAGCTGGCAGAGAAGCTGGAGAAACCACCGCAGCTGCAAGCAGCAGCAGCAGCAGCAGCTGCTCTAAAAGCCAAACTCTAGAGCCACTTACTATATATCTATATAATATATAACTATAGAAATACTAGTCTAAATCTAAAATACCTTTAACTGATTTCTAGCTGCTTTGAACCTTGGCAATTTTAGTGGGGCTCATTTTTGTATGGGTGTTACATTTTTGATAAATAAATGGAATATTTGTAAAACCAAATGACTCCGCATTGACACTCTATCCACACATGTCTGGCGGCAGCCTGGACAGTCTGCAGATTGGTTGGCATTGCTCCTCACTCCCCTTGCTGATGGTGGTCTCCGACTGGGTCTCTTGTCTGCCGCCAGACCACAAAATGCAGCAGACTTCAACTCGACTTCAGCTCGACTTGGAGGCTGGTGTCAGTATCGGCGCATAAGTCCTAAGGAAATGGGCATGAGAGTATCTGTGGGCTGTGTAGAGTGCAGGCTTGTATTGGATAGAAGTGAACTGAAGTAAACATGTTTAGGTTCATACAATTTAATTATTTTGAAAAATAGTTTATAAAATAAAATAGTATGTGAGGCTGATTGCAAAGGCTTTACCAAATGTTTGACAATCAATTAATCAATAAAGAAAACGTTTTCTTTTTACTTTAGATACTTATTAAAGAAACCATTTTACTCATTGATTAATCGACTGTAAAACGATGTT